ATAATGTACTCCCTTATGTTTCCTTTCCCTTTATATCTCATGGAAACAAGGTTTGCCAAGAGTGTATTTTCTTCAACCTTCTTAATCTTTGCAAAATGTTTCTCGAGGTCATCAAGAAAACCCCTAGTCGTAGTGATATCACTAAACATAGTGCCTCGAAAAGTTTCTGAAATAACATGTTTAATTATCATCAAACTTATACAGTTCAATCGATCCCACCTGTCAACCTCCCTCTTATAATAAAAAGTACTCTCAATAGTACGCGGATCGGGTTAATCGACTCGTAAGGCAAGGTACAAATCCATAGCCCTAAGAACAATGAACACATTCTCTTTCCATGCCTTGAAGTTTATGTCATTTAACATTGGGTTGGAATTAACACTCGCGAAGATATTTACAGTAGAACCAGGAACTGAACAAAAAGCAGACAACAACCAGTCAATCATTACTCACGTAAAATTTTAAATAAGATATAATAATAATGAATTTAAATAACAGTAAATTTTATTTGAAGATACAGAATATTCTATTAATACTCTATCTTTAGACAGAATATTAACTTATAAGTGATATCTCAGTACAGTAATTAAATAATGATTGTAAGAGTACCCCAAATAATAAACTTACTTTTGGATCGATTTATAGTTCACATGCAAAACCAAATAACTGTCACACATTTATTACTATAGGTAGGAATGCAATCATGTTAAACATTAACCTTCCTTTGGTCCGATTAACGTTCATATAAATTACACTCATACAATCATTTACATTTTAAAATAAAACAACTTGACACAAGAGATGTCACTTTAGTGACATGTGTAAATCAATTCATTTTAAATGTACACATATACACCAATATTTAAATTCAACATTATATTGAATTTATACTGTATAAGGAAGAAAAAGATCCAAAATATCATTCAAATTATCTAAAACATCCTTAAAAATTAAAAATGAAATTTTAATTTTTTTCAAAGTTTGACTAATGACTTATCAATGGTCAATGTCGATTGTTCACTAGTCAAACACTGATTGGACCGGTTGGTTGAACGGGTCATTGACTATTGACCTGGACATTGACTATTGACCGGGTCCTAAGCCAGTTAGGGGTCCAGGTCTGGGTGGGTCCCCAACTGGGTTGGGTCGTAGCCCACATCTTAAAAAATGACCAAACCCAATTATGCCCATGGCCTAAGCCCGAATCAGAAGAAGAAACCCACAAAAATAAAAACTCATTTTTTTATTTTTCCTAGCACGTGGGGGGGAGGGGGTCCTTTCATCTGCCTCCTGTCACCCCCTCCCTACCTGATGCTGCGTGAGTTAGCAGGATTAGATTACCACGGTCATCTGTCGACTCGATCATAATACCACACTGGGACTGACAGTGGCGGCTTTGCGATTTTGTGACTGCAACCACCGCCTTTGTAGCTTCTCTCTTCATGCAGCAGCATTTCGCTGCCACTTTCCTTCTGTCACTACAACCAAAAGGTCGGCCTTTTCAAAACCATATTCAATTTTTTTCTTCTTTCTGAATCCTTAATTTTTTTAAAAAAAAATAATCCTAAAAAATCAAAAACCAAAACACCAGATATATTTCAATCTGAAATTTTTTCGTAAAACAAAATTGAATACCGAATTTGAAAAAAAAAATCAATCGCAATAATTTAAAATGACTAGCTCTGATACCACTTGTAAAAAATACATAAAACAAATTTAGATCTGAATCTAAAATGGCCAATATACTCATTTTAAACTAAAGAGATATAGATCTAGAGATAGAAACGTACTTGAATGCATAGCGAAAGAAATCTGCATGTTATGCAGCATATCTTCTAAATCAATACATTGATCTTTTGGAGTTTTCACACTTTCTCTTTTCTGGTAATAGGATAATAAAATAAAAAAATCCTAACATATGATTTGGAGACCATAACCATCTATTTATATCTTTAGGTTTTTATTTTTATTATTTCTAATTTTACCAATCACAAAATCAGAAATTACGCTTTTAATCTCTGTATATAAAATAAAGCTCACACTTTAATTTGATGCATTAAGGCCCAAATTACTTTTAACTATACTAGATTACTTTAAACTGACCGTATTAAATATAATAGTATTTTATGTATAATAAACCGATATATAAACTTACACAATTGATTAAAACTCAACACCAACTAATATGCTTTTCAATGTTGAGGATATCTACTTTGGATTATAATAATTCTCAAGTCAAAATTCTAGTGATCACTTTTACAGCATGCTACATGGCACACAGAGGGAGTATTTCATCTCACTGTTTATTTTTTTCTGGG